TCATTTTCTGGCTTTTTAATAAGTAAATTGTATCAACTTATGAAATGACTAGAAATCCCATTTATGAATCCAATTTATAGGAGTTTTACGTTTTCTATTTTCTGCATCTTCCATTAGGTTAAGGATTTTTGCTGCTATTGTTGCCAAAAAAAAAGTTTGAAAAACTCTAATTCAGCCCTCTCATTTTACAAATTTAGAATCTGATTCTAAGAAACAGTTCCCCAGATCTCACACAATTGAATCTTCAGTAAAAATCCTTTCCCGACATCTAAATCTTGTGTATGCAAAGTACTTTCATGAATATGGTAATAGTCTGAAGAATAGAATATTGTGTAAAGGTTATTGGATCTAGAACATCTTGGTTTAAATTAGGTCTTTAAATGTCCATTGTATAAAAAAAACACTGCTTAAAAACATGTTTGGTTTTATTTTTTTATTCTAGTTAACATATAGCATGATATTTGGTTTTAGGAGTATAATTTAGTGATTCTTCACTTACATACAACACCCAGTGCTCATCACAACAAGTGGCCTCCTTAATGCCCATCATCCATTTAACCCATTCTCTCACCCTCCCACCTCCCCTATAGTAACCCTCAGTTTGTTCTCTGTAGTTAAGGTTCTCTTATGATTTGCCTCCCTCTCTGTTTTATTTGATTTTATTTGATTATATAAGATTTTATAAGATTTTATAAGATTTTATTTATTTATTCATGAGAGACACAGAGAGAGAGGCAGAGACACAGGCAGAGGGAGAAGCAGGCTCCAAGCAGGGAGCCCGATGTGGGACTCGATCCCGGGACTCCAGGATCACGTCCTGGGCCAAAGGCAGGCGCCAAACCACTGAGCCACCCAGGGATCCCTCCCTCTCTGTTTTATCTCCTTTTTCCTTTCCTTCCCCCATGTTCATCTGTTTTATTTCTGAAATTCCACAGATAAGTGAGATCATATAGTATCTGTCTTTCTCTGACTTATAGCACTTAGCATTATATCCTCTAGGTCTGTCTTGCAAATGCAAGATTCCATTATTTTTGATGGTTGAGTAATAGTTCATTGTGTGTGGATATATCTAAATATTTCTATCTATACCTAAATATATATATCTATCTAAATCTATCTCTCTATATTTATATATCTGCATAACTTCTTTATCCATTCATCAATGGACATTTGGGTCTTTCCATACTCTGGTTATTGCTGATAATGCTACTATGAACACTGGGGGTGCATGTGTATTTTTGTATCCTTTGGGTAAACATCTAGTAGTGCAATTGTTGGATCTCAGGGTGGTTCTATTTTTAACTTTTTTTTTTATAAAGATTTTGTTTATTTATTCATTAGAGACACACAGAGAGAGAGAGGCAGGCACACAGGCAGAGGGAGAAGCAGGCTCCAGGCAGGGAACCCGACATGGGACTCGATCCCGGGTCTCCAGGATCATGCCCTGGGCTGAAGGTGGCGCTAAACCGCTGAGCCACCGGGTTGCCCTATTTTTAACTTTTTGAGGAACCTCCATACTGTTTTCCACAGTGGCTGCACCAGTTTGCTTTCCCACTACAGTGTAAGAGGGTTCCCTTTTCTCAGGATCCTCGCCAACATTTGTTGTTTCCTGCCTTGTTAATTTTAGCCATTCTGATGGGTTTGAGGTGGTATTTCATTGTGGTTTTGATTTGTATTTCCCCAATGAATGATGTTGAGGCTTTTTTCATGTGTCTGCTAGCCATCTGTAGGTCTTTGGGAAAATGTCTATTCATGTCTTTTTGTCTGTTTCTTAACTGTATTACCTGTTTTTTGGGGGTGCTATTTGATAAGTTCTTTATAGGTCATGGATACTAACACTTTACCATGACATCTGCAAATTTTTGATTACTTCCTTCACTGTACAGAAGCTATTTATCCTGATGAAGTCCCAATAGTTCATTTTTGCTTTTGTTTCCCTTGCCTTCAGCGATGTGTCTAGTAAGAAGTTGCTGTGGCCGAGGTGTCCTCCTCTAGGATTTTGATGGTTTCCTGTCTCATGTTTAGGTCTTTTATTTTCACGTAGAGTGTACAAAAGTGGTCCGGCTTAATTCTCTCATGTGTTGCTGTCCAGTTTTCCCAACACTGTTTGTTGAAGAGGCTGTCTTTATTCCATTAGATATTCTTTCCTGCTTTGTCAAAGATTAGTTGAACATGTTTGGTCTTAAATTCCCTGTTTTTTTTTTTTCCTCCTAATTCTCTGAATTGTTACATTTTGAGCTTCAGAAACACAAGGGTAGAGCTTTATCCATGGCATTGGGAACTTTCTTCATGATCCTATTAAGCCAGCATTGAAGAGGTAGGTGAAGGAGGCTGACACCTACAGAATAGATTGTCTCCTCAGTCAAGAATCTTTTCCAGGACACCTGCGTGGCTCAGTCGGTTGGGCATCCAGCTTTTGATTTCAGCTCAGGTCATGATCTTAGGGTTGTGAGATTGAGTCACATGTGGGCTCCATGCTCAATGTGGAAATTCTGTTTTCCTCTCTCTCTTCATCCTCCCTCTCAAAAAACAAAACAGAACCCCTTTTCCACAGTAGGGGCCTTTGGTAACCATCACACAGGACCTACAAACTTATGTGTCAATTATTAGGGGCTCATCCACATTTCTCTTCTTCAGACTTACTTGTAAGTCCTGCAGTCTTTCTCCATTGAATTACTAATCATCCTGTGGAATTAGCTATTGCCCATTAATAGGAATAGATTATTAACGCTAGTAATTTCTTCAAGCACAGTAAATGTACTCTTAGTTCTACAATTGTGACTATTTCATTTTGATTCTCAGGCAAGGCCACTCCAGTGCTTCAGCAATTTCTAGATGTTACTGGCATTAGATGAGAGCATATGCAAACTAGGCTTGGACTTTTTTCTCCCTCCTCCTGTGAAACTCCACATGAAGCCATTTATATTGTTTGAAGAAAGGTTAAGTAGTGTGGAGGAATAGGCTTCTGGTAGTTTGAGTATGCCATTTAACTTCTTTGTGTGTTTGCGTTTTCTTTTGGCTCATATTGTATATATTCCTTCATTTAATGAAAAAGTCCTACATTTGCTTTTTATACCTAAAGAGAAGTGTAGTTCCTAAAAGACTTAAGTGTTTTGTTTTTCTTTTTCCTATTAGATGAATGGTCACATGACCTTTTGGGTGAATGCCAGGAAGAATTTTCTTGTGTTCTAGTACAGGATCCTTTCTTGAGTACCTGGTCTCCCCTCTGTATAAGGAATGATATAGATCTATAAACTGACTCAGGTCTGGAAGTTTAGTACAGGCCTGTGATTTTAAATAACAGTGGCTTAAGGCCTTTCTTGTCTTGAAGTGTTATGATTTATTCTAATGAAAGATTTTAGTGAATTTAGTCCATTGACTTGATTTTTTAATTTTTTAGACTCCAGGGTCAAATAAGCATAGCTGTAGTCTGTAGTTCAGACCATAGTGATTACCACCTAATTAATTACGTAGGAGGAAATAAAAACCCATAGTTGGTACCCAGATGTCCCTAAATCTTAACCCTTTCTCTAGCTTTCCAGTGGCCAGTTTCAGCTTTTGGAATTAGGCTTTTAAGTCTTAGAAAAAACATCTATTGATCTCTGAGAGAACATTTATACTTTGATAAGATTTTATATTCCTGTCTTCTATATTTCTTTTTATCTTCTGAATTTTGGGGTATTCTCTCAATTTTTTTCTATTCTGTTTACCTTTATTTTGTGTTGACTTTCCCCATGGCAGTTTTAAATTCCTTATGTGTATTTTTCTAATTCGGTTGCTGCATCTTGACCACTTACTCATATAAAAATGTGTTCTTTTGACCTTTTGAAAACAGAAATCAGATTTTTGAAAAACAATTATTTGCTGTCTCATATTTATTCCTTAGAGGAGCATTTCCTTGGCTTTTTAAGTGATTTTCTTTTTTAAGGTCCAGTATTTTTCTCATCATAAAAAGAAATTGATAGTTGTAAAGCATTAACTCCAGGTCAAGTAGGAGCTGAGATGTGTCCTGTAACAATAGATGTTGGTTCTAGCCTGAATTTGGGGAATATTTTATACTTGAATATTGGTTTTACTTTTAGAGTCTCAACAGTTTAGAGAAAATTAGCTGGAGCCATAGTTAGAGTAGAGAGCTTTGCCTCTGCTGAAGATTTCTTTTCCCTCCATACTTTTTGTGGTCATCCATGCCAGTGACAAAACACGGATGTACCTAAGTTGCTTTAGGGTCTTTCCATGCCTGGTTTTCCTTAATGGTGTTCAGAAGTTAGCCTATTGCCCCCTCAAAGAAGAATCCAGAAGTTGTATAGTGATACTGATAGGGTCCAGATGTTACTAATTGAGAGTGGGGAGTATAAACCGTGTGTCCCTGGTGGGTTCACCATCTGCCCTTGCTTCTAGGATTCACCTCTTTGAGTTATAGGTTGTTAGAAGAAGTCTGCATGAGGGAAAGTAGTGTTCTCACAGCAGTAGAAAGAAGTCTCCAGTTGCCTTTACTTGGCTTCCTTCTTGTACTACATCTGTCTAATATCTAGGAGAAACTTGGAAGTTTCTAGAAAATTGTTCTCCTATTTTTCCAAGTGTGGTTATTTCAGTCAAATTTTTTGAAAGTAGAAGGCAGTGAAGTTAGGTATATTGAACAAAATAAAAATGTAATTTTTAAACCAATATGTTTAGTTTGAAAAATAGGCACATAATTTTTTAAAAAGAAATAGCACACGAGCAGCATAGGGGTAGAGGGAGAGAGGGAGAAACTTAAGTAGGTTCCATATCTAGTATGAAGCCTAACTCAAGCTCTGTCTCAGGACCCTGAGATCATGACCTGAGCTGAAATCAAGAGTCTGACACTTAACCAGGAACCCCAGGCATATAAGGATTTTAAGGTTTATGTTTACATACTGAACCTGTAAAAAGGCTAATTTCAAATTTATAGAAGGCTAACTTCACTTAATCATAACAACTGTCTGCCCAGAAGCTAATTAGTACTTATTATTTGCTTTTAGAAAATGGATTCTACATCTCTGTTACCAACGTTTTTAGACGTGGATCTGACAATATCACATGTAGAATGTCTTCCCAAGGATATTCTGGTGAAATTTCAAGGCAAAAATAATATTGAATGTGAATTTGACTACCACATATTACAGCGGGAAATGCAGCACATTCCAAAAGAAAAAAATAACGTGGACATTGATGAATTTTGTTTGGTAGAAGAAAGTGTATCTGGCGAATGGCAGAGAGGAAGAGTCATGGAAAAGAAAAATGAACTCTATACAGTGCTCCTCATAGATCATGGAAAAGAACTAAAAGTTAATAGTACACAGGTTGCTTCGGCCTGTGGCAACTTATTTGAGCTACCGCCACGGGTAATAGTTGGTATTTTTGCCAACATACTACCAAATGGGGAAAGATGGCCTCCTAAGGCTTTGAATTACTTCAAGTCATTAGTAGGACTACAAGTGAAAGGCTGTGTACAAGCTGTTTTGCCTCTTCAAATGGTTCTTCTTGAAGTGCCAAAAATTATATCACAGGTTCTTGAATTACAATTAGGCAGACTTATCGATGGGGATTCGTTTCGTCTTATTGTGGAAATGTTAAAAGAATTCCCACAGGAAATACCAGATTTACTAAAACATAAAAGACCTGAGTTACCATTAAGTAATAATGATGCTTCACTTGATATTCAACACATTCTGGGTAATTTGCAGCCAACTTTGTCAGTAGGCAGTATTGAAAGTATAAAGATATCCTCTGCATTGAGCCCAAGTAAATTTTATTGTCAGCTAATTAAATGGATTCCAGAATTAGAAAACTTAACAGTGTGTATGACTTTGCATTATGATACAGCCAGTCAAGAAAGTAGTCCCACATGTGATAACTTTGGACTACTTTGTGTTGCCAAAAGAAGAAATGGACAGTGGCATAGAGGAATTCTTCAGCAGCTCTTGCCCAATAATCAAGTGAAAATTTGGTTCATGGATTATGGCAATAGTGAGGCTATACCCTCCATCCATGTAAAGAAACTTAAGCAGGATTTTATTTTAGTACCATTATTTTCATTTCCATGTTCTCTGACATATTTGCACAGTCCAGATAGAGATGCCAGTAAATCTCAACTGAGTGTATTTAAACAAGCTTTGTTAGGACAAATAGTATATGCACACCTTGATTGGTTCCATAAGGATGAACATTTGTATTATGTAACACTACAAACTCAGGAGTCTACAATTAATTCTAAGTGTCTGCTGAAGACTGTAGGCACACAAGTACTCTGTCCAGTGTCTGATTCAAAAATCTCTAATATGTTTAAGGAGACTAATGCTTCTGATGTAAACAGCTTTGCAGTTGAGCATTTTACTGGAAATATTGAAAGGCCGATAGACTCTCTAAATAAAAATACTTTGAAAGTAGGTTTTCCTGTTAAAACTGTAGAGATGGACATACGGGCTGCCTATATTGCTTTTGTGGCCTATGTATTAAACCCATCAAATTTCTGGGTACGCACTAATGAACATCAACATGAACTTCAAGATATAATGAAAAATATAAACAAATCTTATGACTTGTGTGAAAATGATGAACTGATTCTAAGAAATCCAGAGCCCGGATTATTATGCTGTGCTAGATACAGCAAGGACAGATACTTTTACAGGGCTGTCATCACTGAAATTAATGGTTATAAGATTAATGTTTATTTTATAGATTATGGAAATACTGATTCCATACCATTTTTTGATGTAAAAATTTTGCTTCCAGAGTTTTGTGAGTTGCCTGCCTTAGCCATGTGCTGTTCACTTGCACATATATTTCCTGTTGAAGATTTATGGGTTAAGGCAGCAATTGACTATTTTAAAAAAATTGTCTTGAACAAAGCAATTTTGCTTCAAGTTATAGCAAGAAAAGATGACAAGTACATTGTAAATATTCAGAGTATTGAAGCCTCAGAAAATACTGATGTTGTCTCTCTCATGTTACAAGCTGGATATGCAGAATATTGGGAAGTAGAACCAGAATGTCTCCCCAAATCTGTAAGTGAATATTCAGTGTTAAATTTAAAGTGTAAAAACAAAGTTAATATTAAAGTCCTATCTGCCCTTCTTGAAGGACCTAAACCTAAGAAGTATCATTCAAATAAGCTAAAAGACAGTAACTCGTCTTTGTTAAAGTCCCCAGCTGTTAATTTCTCAGATTTAAGAAATCCTTCTACCTTGTCTGTGGGACCAGAATTGATACGACCTTATAAAGAATATATGTTTAAACCAGGAACAGTCCTTGAAGTCAAGTGTTCTTCTTATTATGGCCCAGGAGACTTTTCATGCCAGCTTCAAAGTAAGTTAGAAGACCTAAAATTACTAATGGATCAGATTCAGAATTATTACAGCATTCATTCTGATCCTTATCAAACTGGGCAGATTGCTTGTGTTGCTAAGTATTCCAAAGATGGGAAGTGGTATAGAGCTGCTATTTTGACTCAAGTATCAAGAAAAGAATTTGACATAGTATTTGTTGATTATGGTTACCAAGAAAGGGTTTTAGTTAAAGATATTTGTGCTATTAACCCACGTTTTCTTGTTTTAGAAGTCCAAGCCTTCAGATGTAGTCTTAACCATTTAGTTGAACACATCAGTGGTAAATTCTGTTGGACAAGAGAAGCATGTAGAGACTTGAGGAATTTTATTTCTTCCTCTGGAGGGTTATTGACTTGTGTCATTTATGCCTTAGCTCTTATATATCCAAACTGTTTATATAACTTGGTGGATTTACAGTCTCCACTTACTAGTGCAAGAGAATTTCTCATTAATCATGGCTCAGCACAGTATAGTATGTTATCAAAGCCATTCCCATCTTCAGTTAGTCTTTACAGTTACTGTTATTCTTCCTTTAACATAAAAATTGGAAGCGAGGAAGAAATATACATATCTCACATATATAGTCCCAAAAAGTTTTATTGCCAACTTAGTAGAAATATTAAAGACCTAGAGATGATAGAAACAAAAATTGTAGAGATTAGTAACCTCAAAAATTGTCCAAAATATGATCCTAGTAAAATGAGGTTGTGCATATCTAAGTATATAGAGGATGGTGTCTCTTACAGAGCTTTAGCAATGCCAACGGATTCATTAACTGATTTTCTGGTCTATTTTGTGGACTTTGGAAATAAGCAGTTAGTAGAAGAAAGTACATTGAGGGTGATTTCAGATCAGTTTCCAGAATTGCTGTTTACACCCATGCAAGCTATTAAGTGTTTTTTGTCAGATGTTAGAGATGTAGATATTCCAGCAGAAATCAGTGGCTGGTTTGAAGATAACTTCTTAGGAAAACCGTTAAGGGCAATAATATTGTCCAGGGAGTCAGATGGCCAGCTTGGTATAGATTTGTATGATGGATGTCAACATATAAATGAGGAAATTAAAATGTTGCTTCATGCTTATGGAAAGAAACATTGTGACCAATCACACTGTGTGGAAAAGAGTCCTAAAATAAGTGAGAACGAAAGACTTGCTGTTTCTTTGAAAGGCAAAATAGAAAACAGTTATCATCATAATATGATAAATAAAACTAATCTAGTAATGTATTCTGAAAGCAAAATAGATCAATTAATGAATCCTGGAAGTACATATGCCAAGCTTTTGAAACCATCAGTTTGTTATAAAATTGAACCGGTGTCAAAAACCAAAGTGAACTCTTTGAGTAGTGGACTAAAAAGTAAGGGTGTAAAAAGTGTCTCTGGATCTGCACATGCTCTCGATGAAAATGATGTGGGCCACAGATCAGTAAGGGTTGTATCACAGTGTTTTAGTGGAGAATTAAATCAAGCAGCCTCTCAAAACCCATCTAATCTTATGAGACCACAGATCAAAGATCTTCCTCAACCCCAAATCTACTTGAATGCCAAAGTTAAAGGATATGTTTCTAATATCAGTAATCCAGCAAGTTTCCATATCCAGCTGGCTGAGAATGCAAATGTAATAATCAGACTCACAGATGCTCTAAATGGAAGCAGAGCAAATTTAGTGAAAGAGAGAAAATCAGTGAAGCCTATGGTGGGAGACCTTGTCATTGCAGAATACTTTGGTGACCATGCCATCTACAGAGCAGTAATTAAGAGAATTCTGCCAGGAAATTCTTTTGAAGTGGAATTTATTGACTATGGTAATACTGCGGTAATAAGTGCTTCCAAAATTTATGAATTTCAGAGGGAATTCTTAACTGTTCCTCAGCTAGGAATCCATTCTTTTCTTAGTGGAGTCAAGTGGAATGAGCCTGATGAAATATGGGACAGTAACACTGTGGATTTTTTCACATCAAAAGTGAGTAACAAAACAGTTTCTTGTGAATTTTTGAAAAAGCATGAGCGGAGATGGGAAGTCAGTATCATTTGTGACGGAACGTGTATCATTAATGAATTACTGAAATGGACAGCATATTCAAAACTACGGAAAACAGTATTGCAGTTGCCTGTGGCTGTCTCTCAAAAGGTGAGCTCTGGGGAGGATGATGAAATGAAGAAAGGAAAATCAAACGAGTGTGAAGGTCCTGAGATCCTTCAACCATCCTGCCAACAGCTGGTTAAGATTCCTTTGGAAGAGTTAAAACCTGGACAACTTGAAAAGTCTGAAATACTTTATGTCTCAAAAAGTGGGATCTTTTATGTGAAGTTATCCAAAAATAAAAAAATCTTATCAGATTTAACAGTATTAATCGCCAAAGAAGTAAAGAAACCCTCTTTATCAATTGAAAATATTGAAAAAGGTTTAGAGTGCTTGGCAAAATCTAAAAAATCCTTGAAGTGGTATCGATCAAAAGTAGCAAAGAAGTGTGTTGATGAGAAAGTGCTTGTTTTTTTAGTAGATCGTGGTAAGTATGAAATAGTGCCTTTCAGTAATACCAAGATGCTTAGTAATGAAATTAGAAATATTCCAAGACAAGCTGTGCCTTGTAAATGGATTTGGTTTGAAAATTTTAAAAGCCGGCCATTTGAGTCCATTGTGGGTTTATTTGCACATTTGGAAATAAATATTCTTTTCCTGAAATATTTAGACTCTGTGTGGAAAGTAGACATTCTGATAGATGGCCTGTTACTTTTGGAATATTTAAATTTAAATAAAGTTCATGTTGAAAACAAACTTAAATCTTCAGAAACTATTTTGAGTGTGGAATCTAAAACTACTGTGTCCTCTTGTACAACAAGATCATATACTTGGGCCCAGCTCCACAATGGAAAACAATATTCTGGTATTGCCACTGCTATTTCTGATCCATCAGATTTCTGCGTTCAGTTAGAAGATTTCTTTGACATAATGAAATCTCTCTTTGTGTTGCTTTCTGATCTACCAGAAAAGTTGCAAAGAGTGCCTCAAGAGTGCATAATTCCCGGTGCTAGTTGTTTGTTCAAATATGAATTGGAAGATCAGTGGAATAGAGTAGAAATCTCTGAGGTCTCTAATCAATCTTTATTACTTGTGTTGATCGACTATGGATTTTCTGTTTCCATACCTTATTCAGATATAAAAAATCTGAAAGTTGCTCCTGTCGAACTTTTGAATATACCAAGGTTGAGTTATCCTTGTATCTTACACGGTATCTTACCTGCTGAAGGGAAACACTGGAATGTAGAAGCCAAAAGTTTTTTTCAAGAATTCCTAAGTAAACCAGGCTTAGTTTTTCAGTTTAGGACATATAATCTTGAAACAAAACTGAAAGTAGAGGTCATTCATGAGAAGAACAATTTGGCAGATATGTTAGTTGCTTCTGGTTTTGCAGCGTATTGTAAAGATTCAGATCGTCTTAATGATGGAATTAGTACTGGATCTACTACAATCCAGCCTCAATTACAGGGGAAGCCTCTCTTCCCATTGTTAGATCAAAATTGTTATAGAAGGGAAAATATAAGTTGTACCTGCTCTGAGAAACAAAGGCAAAAAGAGAAAACTGTAAAGAGGAAAGAAGTCTACCAGAACCTCTTAAGGAAAAGCTGTATCCGTAAAAGATTATATTCTAGAAACGTAACTCTGAGAGAGAAGGCTGATGTTGGGCAGTGTAATCCCCAAAGTTCCTTTACATTGGATACGTGTTCAGCTTCATTTTGGGAACCACCTAATGGTTTCAAGAATAACATCAATTATGCTGAAAACATTTTTGAAAAACTACCAACTGAAGAAATACAGGAAAACAACATAGTGGATTTGAGAATAGCAGTAAAAGCATCGCACGCTAATGAAAAAATTGTATCAGAGGAACCGTTAAAGGGTAAGTAGCTATTTTAAAAAAGTAGATTCTTTTTGTAGATTTACTTTTTATTCTTTAAATTTTTATTATATGCCAGAATTATCCAAATTGAAAACATCCTGTACTGTAAGACTTTATAGAAAATCTGAATAAATGGATAAACTGGGACTAATCACTTAATTATAAGATGATACGGGACTGTCTTTTCTTTTTTGGAATGGTGACCTTTGAGAATGTAATGAAAGTGGAGAACATTTTTAACTATATATGCATGCACAAATACATGACATTTTACAGACGATTTCAAGGGTTTCACAAAACTTAAAGGCCCATAAAGCTCAGGTTAATAAATCTTGCTATTAGTGAGCTCCTGGCTTCATTTTGAAGAACCAATTTTCTCTTATAGGTTTCTTATCAGATGAAATAGATCTTTATTTAGGTTTTTTGAGTGTACTTTTAGCATATTGCTAATGCAGTTACACTTATGGAATAAACTGACAGGACATATTTCCTCTTAAATTTTTTAGATGTCAAACTGATTCTATAATGTTAAAATTTTAATATGTTATAGCTATAGTATTATCGGATTTTTTAATACATGTTGGGTTTCATTTTCTGTGTGAATTAGTTACTGAGGATCTTCGTAGGCTATAAAAATGCTTCCTGTTTAATGAATGTTCTGACTATAAATCTGTTATTCCATGTTCTAACTTGTATTCTAGCAGGTTACTTTCTTTTAATGGGCAGAGGGATCTTGTTTTTATTGACGTATTTTAGAAAGAATATTTCATTTGAATTCATATTTAGGTGTTTTATAGTGAATGGATATTTTAAAATTGGCTTTTATTTTTGAATATTTTGTTACTGAATTAGCAGTTATGGTGGAGTGCTTATTATGTTCCAGGTGCTGTGTTAAGGTTTTCATATGGATCCCTCATTTAAAGGTTACCAAACTCTCAAGTAGGTTGATACTGAGGTTTAAATGGAGTCTGACAACTAGTTGCCTAAATTCTAAATCACCTTAGAGAGGGACCAGGAGGAAAACAGTTGGTGAGCTAAATACCACATTTATTAATAAAGCAACAACCCCAAAACAATACTGATAAATGTGGGTTTATATCTGTGGGGAAAATAGGTTTACCAACAGTAGGCACAGAGCGGGAACTGCCCCGCCCTCCCATGTGGGGGGGCCTACCCCTGCTTGAGACATTGATCTCCCAAAGAAAGGGAGGGAGGAGGAAGAGGCTACCTTAACCTATTCCTTTGTCCTGCTTTGTCCTCCAAATGGACCAATCAGATTGGCCCTCCTCCTGGTCTAAGTAAGGAAGCCAAAAACCAGCGGAGTGTTGGGTGAGGAGAGTGCCTCACCTGTGAATACTTCTACATGGGAGAAAACTCCAGGAATGGGAAGAAGCACCCCCCAAAATTATCACTGTTTTATGGATGAGGCTCAGGGCAATTGTCCATGGATAGAAGACAGGATCTCAGTTCCCTATATACTTAGCAACTCTGACATCTCCAACTCTATAGTCTTTTGTTAATTACTTATACTGCCTTCTGAAAAGCAATTCGATCATTTGAGGCAGAGTTTTCAGTAAGCTTCTGGCCCTCAGCCCATACATTTTAGTGCTTCCACAATTTCTTTTATTACTCTACCTGAATATATTTCCACCTTCATTTTTCTTAAATTCCTTAAAAACCCACCTCAGGCCCCCATCTGCATCCTACCTCCTGCATTCCTAGCACACGGTGAATCAATGAGTGAGTTAAATGAAGATAGCTATTACAAAAGCAGCTAATAAAAGATCAAATTATAGTTCTAAAAATTTTGAAGTTTTTTTTTGGGAAAATCTTTGAGGCAAATATAAGAAACATGGTTTCACGGACTTAGAATTTACTAACGCATGTGCTATAATCAGTTTTAAAACAAAATAAGAAAACAAGATGGTTTCGTTGCTTTGAGTACTGTCCAGGCTCCTAACACTTATTCCTTGACCACCAGCAGTACTGTAGTAGCCACTGCTGTTTGCTATTACTGCCTGCACATGCTCCAGATCTTAGGGAAAAATGGTTTTAATTCTCTGTTAGAGTTCTCAATATTTGAAGTTCTCTTCCCTATTAAAGAAGCTAGAAAAGTGGCGCTAGTGCCCATGCTTTTCAATCTGGGCTTTGCGTTCAAAAGGAAGCTTTAAAAAATTCTGCCTGGGTCTCACTTTTAGAGATGGTCTTAGTTGATCCAGCTGTGATCTCACCGTCTTAAAGCTCCCCGGGTGAGTCTAACATCCAGCCAAGGTTGGGAACCGCTGTTCCAGAGACTATTGTGGATAACTTTCTGAATTGTTAGAGAAAAATACTAATTTTGGACTTCACAAAACCTGTTAGAATCTATCGCTCTGGTATTTGGAGTCCAGACAATACATAGTGAGTCATAGTAGTTCTGTGCTAAACTTAACTCAAAAGTGTCATTGTTTTAGAAATGGCCTCAAAGTATAAGGCGTTTATTTTGCCTTGCCCAGGTATTGTTTTAATAATACATTTAGAAAATTGGGTTAGCTGTCCCGTAGTTTCAGCCTACTATAACATATACGTATTAAAATATACAAGCTAGTGTTTTTTATTTGCAGCCTGTTTTCTCAGAATAAGTTACTAGTGTGTGTCCAAGATGTCTTTGCTGTTGTTGCTTGCTTGTTTTTCCCTGGAAGTCCTTAAATAGATAATTATGGGAACTAGGAGAATGTAACAACCCTTTGAAAAGCACAAAAATATCGAGTTACTGAGGCAGTGCTTGATGCTGATATGTGCTACCTTCCTACAGTTGCATATTTAACTGGAGGACAACTTTGAAAGAAATCTGGAATGGCAACCCATTTTTGCGGAGACTTTTGTCTGACCTTTTACATTCAAGATGATATAGCTAGATATCCAAAGGGGAATGGCTGATAGGCATGTAAAATGTTAGGCTGAATTCTGATAATACAAGTCTTGTAAGTGATACTTATGGATCACTTGCATTGGATCCGGCACAATATTTAAAAGTATGGGCAATGAGGCCCCACTCCATGAGTTTCAATTCCTGCTGCATCCCTTCTTAACTGTGAAACTGGAGATAAGCTTTCTAACATATTGATTTTTTTCATTTTCTTCATCTGTAATATGCAGCTAATGATGACACCATTGGCTGAGTGAGGGCTACATAAGTTAAGACCTGTGAAACCTCTTCACTAATACCTGGTACAAAGTAAATGCTCACTAATTCTAGAAAAATCACATTCTAATAAAACTACTGTATTTGTTTTGAAAATCTTTTGTGAAGTAACTTGAAAAATTGCTGATGTTGTTCTGCATGAAATTGCAATATTTAGGACAGTGTATAACAGGCACATATTTGCAGTAAATACATTAACAGTTAAATCTTTTTGGAAGATTGGATTTCTGATAGAATTCTTGTTCTAAATAAAGACTAGAAGAAACAAAAATGTATTTTATTTTCCAGAATGAATATATATTAGTAATTATTTAAGAAAAGATATTTTTAGTTAAGTGTATGTTTTAGTATATGTATAATCTGTATGCTATATTTCTTTCCTTTACCTTTTTAAATTATGACTGTTAGAAATTAAGCAAAAAATTCTGTTTATAGTAGGAACCTTCAAAATAATGTCATGACTATTAATGAAACCCATAATTCTTGGAAAATATAATCTAACATACTAATTATTCTTTCTTGTTTTTCAGTGCAAGGAGATGAAAGCTCAGATCTTTTATGCATCAGTTTGGCAACAGATAATACATAGGATACCCAGTAATTCCTGTTTTGTTTTAGATGCTCCAAATATATAATAAAAGTGGTAAGCATATGACAATTTCTAAACTCAAAGTATCTGAAAGGCATCTAGATTGTTCAGATTATTTTCCTAGCAGACAGTGATTAGAATGTTACAGATTAGAATGTTACAAATTTGTTGTGACCAGGAATTATGATGACTTGTTTTCAGAAAGAATATTTAGGAAATGTGTTTCACTCCTAAAGTATTTTAAACATTTTATTTGATAAAGTATTCTTTGCTACATTTTCAGTCATTAGATAATATTTTACTGTTATATCTTTCAGGTGTCTTTCCTGACTAAAGCCTCTGTTTCTGTTGCTACTTTATAGAGTCATAGTCGAGGTCATGGATAGTACATAGAGAGTTAATGCTACACAACCACATTCCCAGGAAAATATGGGTGCTTATAGGACACTTAGAATATGGAAGAAAAGTCAGACTTAATCCCATTCTTCCCTCTCTCTAGCTCATACAATGGGATTTTTCTTTTACTTTATTTTTTTTTGTGTATATATATATATATATACATATATATATTTATATTTATTTATTTTGGCTTTATATTTTTGGTTATTTGTTGTAGATATTTGTGACATTCAAGAAGACTACTGTTTAGTTGGGGGAGAGAGATTTTGTCAGTGCATTTACTTGTGAATTAGGATTTATCTTACAAGTAAACATTTATTGAGCAAATTCGGAGTATATTCTTGCAGAGATAGAACCATAAAATCATACAAGTGCACTTAAGAGTCAGTTTCTGCCAAATAGTTTCAAAGAACTAGAGATTTGGTGATTTAGAAAATATTTGAAGAAACTTAGAAATTTTCTAAGCTAGCTAGGGCAATCAAATTTATTATTGGTACATGTATATTGAGTGTATTGATATTGTCATTTTTTTTGTGGTTAGGAAGTAATTTCCAGAAATACTGTTGTTTATGAATAGGAGTTTGTTGATGGTTTCCTTTTCTGTGTAAAAACTTTTTATTCCATTGTAGCCCAGTACTTTAATTTTGCTTTTGTTTCTCTTGCCCAAGAAGACCTGTCTAAAAGTATTTCTGTGGGCAATGTCAAAGAAACTACCTGTTTATACTTCTTTTCTTACAGGGGTTTTATGATTTAAAGTTTCACATTTGGGTCCTTAATCCATTTTGAGTTTATTTTTCCAGATGGTGTAAGAAAGTGATCCAGTTTCATTCTTTTGCATGTAGCTCTCCAGTTTTCCCAACACCATTTGTTGAAGAGACCATATTTTCTCCATTGTATATTCTTGCCTCCTTCATTTTAGATCAACCATATAAGCATTGGTTTATTTACAGGCTCTCTGTTTCATTTTTTCTATGTGTCTGTGTCAGTATAATACTGTTTTGATTACTATAGCTTTATAGCATATGTTGAAATCTGGGATTATGATACCTCTAGCTTTGTTCTTATTTCCAAAGATTGTTTGACTATCTGTGGACTTTTGTGTTTCCTTACAAGTTTTAGGATCATTTGTTCCAGTTGATAATTTTGATCTAGATTGCAGTAAATCTGTAGATTGCTTTAGGTAATATAGATCCATGTTGACTTTTTCCAATCCAGAAGCATGGAACATCTTTCCATTTATTTGTGTCTTCAATTTCTTTCATCAACATTTTATAGTTTTTGTAGTATAGATATTTTGCCTCTTATGTCAAGTTTATTCTTAGGTATTTTTGGTACAATTATAAATGGGATTATTTTCCTAATTTCTGTGCTACTTTGTTATTAGTATATAGAAACTCAATAGATTTCTGTGTATTTTGTACTGAATTCTAGTAGTTTTATGCTAGAGTCTTTAGGGTTTTTAAATATATATTATCCTATCATTTGCAAAAAGTAAGTTTTTTTCTTTCTGCCTTACCAATTTGGATGCTTTTTCTTTTTCTTGTCTGATTGCTGTGGTGAGGACTTCTAGTACTATTTTGAATAAAAGTGGTGAGAGTGGACATCCTTGTCTTGATCTTAGAGGAAAAGCTCCCAGTTTTTCACCATTGAGTATGATGATAGCTGTGCATCTTTAACATATGGCCTTCATCATATTGGGGTGTATTCTTTTTACATCTACTTTGTTGAGGATTTTTATCATAAATGGATGTTATGCCTTATCAAATGCTTTTTCTGAACCTGTTGAGATGTTTCTTTTGTTAATGTAATGTATCATGTTGATTTATAAATCTTGAACCACCTTTGCATCCCTGGAATAAATACCACTTGATTGTGGTGAAGGATTTTTAAAAATGTATCATTGGATTTGTTTTGCTGATATTTTGTTGAGGATTTTTGTATCTTTTAATCAGAATTATTGGCCTGTAGTGTCTCTCCATCTCACCCTCTTTTTTTATTTTTTTTTGGTAGTGTCTTTGGTTTTAGTATCAGGGTAATGCTGCCCTAATGAATTTAGAAGCCTTTCTTACTCTTCTATTTTTTTGGGGGGCATAATTTGAAAGGAATGGGTACTAACTTGTTAAATTTAAATCATTTGAATGATTGGTAGATTCACCTGTGACGCCTGGTCCTAGATTTTTTTTTTTTTTTTTGGTTAGGAGATTTTTTGATTAATGATTCTATTCATTGCTAACAACTTGTTCAAATTAATTTATTCCTAATTCAGTTTTGGAAGGTTATGCTTCTAAGAATCCATTTCTTCTAGGTTACCCAATTTGTTGGCAAAATATTTGTTTCTGTGGTGTAGGTTGTTATTTCTCCATTTCTAATTTTGAGGCCCCTCCCCCCCTTTTTTTTCTTGATGGGTCTGGCTAAAGAATGATAAATTTTGTTTCAAAGGACCAGCTCTTGGTTCTTTATCCACTTTTATTCTTGCTATCCTAGTGGATAAGACAAACTATCTTTTGGTTTTAATTTGCATTTCACTAATGATATTGAACATCTCTTCATGTGCTTATTAGCCATTTGTATATCTTCTTTGAATAAAAGTTTTCAAAAATTTTCATCATTAAAAATGTTTTTTAAATCTCTTTATTGTTGAGTAGAAAGAATTTATGTATTCTGGATCCAAGCCCCTTATCCTGTATATAGTTTACAAATATTTTCCCCCATTTTTCTGGGTTTCCTTTCACTTTGATGTCCCTTTGAAGCACAAATATTTTCAATTTTGATGGAATCCAATGTGTATCCATACTTTTGATGCTTTTGCATTTGCTCTTGGTGTTATACATAAGAAATCATTATGTAATCCAAGATGATGAATGCTCATAAAAGTTTTTTCCTAAGAGTTTTAGAGTCCTAGTTCTGATGTTTAGATCTTTGGTCAGTCTTGAGTTAGTTTTTGTATGTGGAATGAGGTGGAATCTTACTGCTTTTTTTTTTTTTTTTGCAGGTGGATTTCTAGTTTCTACATCGTCTTTTATTTAAAAAGATGCTGTCCACTGAGTTTTTGTGGAAACTGTCAAAAATACTTGACCCAAAATGACTTATTTGTGCACTCTTGTCTTCCATTGATGAATAGGACTAGCCTTTTGCATGTACTTCACTGTTTTGATTATTATAGCTTTGTAATATTTTTGAAATAAAAGTTCTCATTTGTTCTTTTGTTGATTCGTTTTTGGTCCTTTTCTAAAATGATTTTGGGTCTGTTACATTTCCATATGAATGGGAGGGGTCATATTTTAAACTTCTGCACAAAAAAAAGAACAAAAACCCTAGCTAGATTTTATAGCAATTGGTTTAAACTGTAGATTAATCTGGGGAGAGTAGTTGCTATCTTAACAGTGTCAGCCCTTCCAGTCCTGGAACAGGGACTATGTTGATCTTTAATTTACCTCTACAATGTTTGTAATTCTTAGTGCACAAATCTTGAAACTTATTCTGAAATCTAGAAACTTACTCTCTTTCTAAATATTTTCTTTGTTGCTAATTATAATGGAAGATGTTGATTTCATTCTCTAATTTTTAGTTGTTCATCTATTAGAATACAATTGACTTTGAATTTTGACCTTGTGTTTTGTAACCTTTCTGTACTTGTTCATTCAAATCTGTGTATGTGTGTTTATTCATGAGAGAGAAAGAGAGAGAGAGAGAGAGAGAGAGAGAGAGAGAGAGAGAGAGAGGCAGAGATACAGGCAGAGGGAGAAGCAGGCTCCATGCAGGGAGCCCAACGTGGGACTTGATCCTGGGTCTCTAGGATCAGGCCCTGGGCTGAAGGTGGCGCTAAACCGCTGAGCCACCGGGCTGCCCTGTATGTGTGTTTCTTTGGATTTGCTGCATACAGAATGTCATAGCAAATAAAACTTAAGTCTTCCTTTTATTTGGTTGTATTGGGTGGTGGTTGTTGTTTTGCCAGGTTGCAGGAGTTAGAATCTCCAATATTATGTTGAAAAGAAATGGTAAGAGCAGGTATCCATGTCTTGTTGTCTGTATTAGGGAAACGGCCTTCTATCTTAGATCATTAAGTGTGATGTTTATGGTTGTATATTAACCTTTAATCAGATTGAAGTTTTTTTTCTAGTCTTTGGGTTTTTATCATGAATAGATGCCTACTTTATTTCTCTTGGTTATATATTACTTTTACTTTCCCTATTTTTTTATTACAACGTGGGTGTATGTTATAATAGTTTTGGGTTGTTATCTTCCTCTAAAGATTTTAAATTTTTGTTCTGGTAGTTTGTTAGATTATTATTGGACCACTTGGCTTTTGTCCATCTAGTTTAAGGGCAGATCTGTTAATTTTGTTTTCATGCCTTATTCTCCATCCTTCTATGGATAACTTTTCTGGGGTCTCAACTGAATACTCAGGTTGTTTTCCAGGGTGCTTATATTCTGACTTGGTCCAAAATGCAAAATCTCCCAAGCACGCTGTTACCTCCAGAATCTCTTCTCAGCTTTCAACTTCTTAACACCATTAAGTTAACTGTAGAGTCTTGCCCTGTAGATCTGCAGCATAGGAGTTGGCTAATGACCTGAGGAATTACCATACAAACCTTTGAGGTTCTTTCTCTGTGGCTCTTATGGTGGCACCAAATCCCAGCTACCATAAATTAGCCTTGCACCTTGATTTCCACATCCTTAATTCAGTAAAGCTACTGCTCTGTGCTTGACCTCACGTCTGCATTGTGGTCAGATAATTTACCTGGGGAGAGAACCTGGATGGATATAGAGATTCCCTATGTTTGTCTCCCCTCTCAAAGATTACAGCCCTTCATGAGTGCTGTCCAATACCTGCAAACAGTTTTATATATACTCTATGTTTTGTGTCCTGTTTGTAATGGGGCTAGTCTATCAGTTACTCTCATAGCCAAGACAGGAATTCCCTGGGATCCCTAATTGAATCAGCCACTATACATAACTTTTCTTTACCTAATTGTTCAGTGCATGAGGAACCCAAAGTGGCTTTTTTATCATGTTTTATTTTTACTCCATGTTATCTTATTTTTTCCCCATGTTATCTTAATAGTGTTTAGGCACTATTAAGAGGCAGCAAAAACACACGTGTTGCAAGCACTGTTTCTCCTTCCTCTTGTTATGCATATTGCCGGTTGCACTCTGATCATCATGCATTTCTTGATAAACTGGCATAGAGGATTTTAGTTTCCAGAAATGGCCACAACACTATCTCCTGTCCTGTTCCCTCCTCAAGGAGGACAGAGAAGTGTACTGCTTGACTTGTGTGGTTAGGTTGTGCAAGGTGGTGCATCTCTATTTGTTCACGAGAATAGTCTTGCTTAATGCCAGGTTGCCATGTTAAGTAGTCCAGTGACCTTGAGGTTGCCATGTGCTGAAGAAACTCAAGCCACGTGAAAATGTTCTGTTTAGGTTCTTTTCTTGACTGTTCCAGTATATTACCATTTGTGTATCCCTAGATACGGCCCAGACATTGTGGAACAAAGATAAGCCAACCCTGCTGTGTTTTGTCCCAATTTCTGCCCCTAGATATGTGACATAATACCATTATTTTTATCACTGGGTTTTAGAATAAGTTGTTAAATAGAAATAACTGGAACAAACTATGGCACCAGATGTGAAATGCTGCTATAACTTTTGGACTGAGTAGTGGGCAGAAACTGGAAGGTACTTGACAGTCCTCAAGGAGATGGTCAGTGAGGGCCTTATGGTAGTTGAGGAAAATGTTGAAAGCTGGAGGAAAGGAAAATGGAGATCTTTGCTAGATATTCTCATTATATATAACAAAATTGCTACTGCCACAACATGGAGAAGATGAAAATGTGCCTAATGAATGGAGTATTTAGTCTTAGGAGGTTTCCAAGTAATACTGTATGCCTCCTAATTCTGTTTTTGAATGAGAGTGCCTATACAAGTTACTCTGTGCTTGCCCCACAGTGGTATGTTGGTTGTGTTTGGGCTAACATGCTACTTTGTTTCATAGGTCTTGAGATCAAGAAGAACTGTACCTGAGGAACTGCTTCCGGGGAGCCTAATCTACCCTTGGACCTGATTTAGATGATGAGGTCTGAGGCTGTTCTGATGCCATAATGGATTGAGACTTTGGAGGTCTTGGGAAAGGTGTAGTGTCTTCTGCATATGAGAATGATGTGAATGGGGGCCATAGGGCATACTGTGTTGCATTTTATTATCCAAAGATTGTCACGGTAAAATTTAAGCTTTCATCCACTGCAACTTTTCTATTCCCCCTCAAGAAGGGGAGTATATAATTACCCTTTCCTTGGAAGTGGGTAAGCTTGAGTCCTTTGACCAAAAGTCATGGAGTTGAAGTGATGCCATGTCATCTTACAAGTTACTTCACAAACAATGATGTAGCTTTCACCTTATTTTCTGGAATACTTGTTACCTGGTGCCTTGGACCATCATAGAAGAAATCCAAATACCACATCTAGGTTGTGAGGAAGCCCAAGCCACATGGCAAGTCCATGTGTAAGGACTGTCAACAGTTACATACCCCAACCATTTGAGTTTTCCTTGCTGAAGCCATGGGTATTGATTGTACAGAAACAAGCAAACTCCATCATGTTCATCACATCCAAATTCCAAAGCTACAGGATCCATGAACCTAATATAGTAGTGATGTTTTATACTAAGCCTTGAGATAGTTAAGTAGAACAACTGGATAACTTATAATCCACTTATAAAGTATCTTTAGACCTTTTGGCATATGGTGAGAATAAAAAGACCTGGTAATAAGTGTGAATTTCAGTGAAAAAGTGTGACATGTTTTATCTGCCTAATGGCTTGCTATTCATTTATTTGGTTTTGGGATACTAACTCCTATGGCTATATGAGTTCTAGAGCATTTATGTGCCCACTGTACATTAGTTTGTACTAGTCTCTTTGTAAACATTCCATTTACTTTTCATTTTGTTCTACTTGATTAAAAACTCAATAAATGATTCCTTCAGTTTGCCTCCATATTTTTACACATAGTAGATGGGAAATAACTACATATTGATTGAATATTTGTCAGCATTTCAGAGGGCATCATTCATGAATTTAAAAAAATATGAAAATGACTTCGAGATGACTTAGGAAATAAGTAATTAGATATTAGTGTTAACTTCACTAATAAGAGGTAAAGTCTGAAAGAAACTAATTCATAGTCTACATATATAATTCGAATATCTTTATGACGATAATAAAAGTTTTTCTAGCAGTTAAGGAAAGGATTCTATTTTCAGAGGGTTTTACTGCCATCTAGTGGCAGGCATTTCTATGGTTTAAATTCCTACAAGCTTTATAGAACTCTTTATGGGTCTGTCTTCTCTTAATTTTTAAGACTTTTTTTAAATGGAAAAATATATTTCAGGTGCCTAAAGAGAAGGTAGGATTTTTTTTGGAAAAAATTCATGGTATTCTTCATATACCTCATACATACTTTAAAATAAGTGACTAAACAGGACTATGTTATTCATTCCTTAGTATAGTTTTCCTGCACTTTTTAAGTTTTTTTCATTTGCTTGGGTTCCCCTTTTTCCATTCATAGAATTGCTAAAGACTGCCCTAAGGTATGTCGTAATAGTCTGGATTTTTTCAGTGTGCACATAATTCAGTGAATGAATATAATTGCGTGAACATAAATACAATGTACATACTTTTGTTACATTTTAGAGAAACCACATAATTTTTCTGCATTTTGCTTTTCTCACTTAGCATATCAGAAATCTAAGAAGTGATGTGGTTCTATTCTTTTAAATGTATGCATGATTTTAAAAAGCACAGATGCATTTTAATTTTGTTTTCAGCAATTTCTTTTGATAGACATCTGCCTTTTTTGCCATCTTAAATATTACTGCAATACATATCTGTGCGTGTATGTCCTTATATAGGGGTAATTTTGTTTCTGAGATAGCTTTTTAGGAGTAAGATTGCTGGATGAAAGAACATATTTAGAGTTTGAATAGATGTTACCACGTTGCTCTTAAAAACAGCTGAAATGTCAACAATGTATAAGAATACCTTCTCCCTACATTACCATTAGTACATTTTTTAGCATTTTAAACATTTTTGCCTGTATGAGGGGTTAAAATGATTTTTAATATCTTGATTAGAGGATTTGAACAATTTTATGTGCTGACACTGAATTCTATGAGTTTTTCTAATTTTAATGCTTTGTATATTGTAAGATGTTAACTCCTTTTTTATCTTCCCAATTTTACAAGTACTTTATGCAAAAGAAAACAAAGTTTTAACTCTTCATACAATTAAACAGGTCTGTCTTTTTAGACAGAGTTCCCTGTAGGTAATGAAGAAGGTCCCACTCCTTACACATGGCCTTTATCTTCCAGGATCCTTCTCTCCATTAATTTTTTTTTATTTTGCAAAGTTTTTATTGTCTGAGTTTTAAGTTTAAATTTTAATCCATCTGGAATTTAATAGCTAAACTTCTCAAAATTGAAAGATAACATATACATGGTGAAGTACAGTATTAAAGGATTATCAAAGTAAACAGACTGATGTAATCAGCAGCCACTCAGAATAATTCTTGTCTCTTCTTAATTACTAAAACTGCATTATCCTAGATACAGCTGTCATGATATTTATGATAATTGCCTTCCTGATTTTTTTGTGTTCTTTGCCTCCTAAACTGGATCTCTAAACATTATGGTTTTTGCTCATTGACCTTAATATAAACTCATATGTATTTTTATATCCAATATCTTCTGTTTAACATTTTGTTGGTGACTTTTACTCACATTGTGGTGTGCAGCAGATAATTCTCCTGGCTATATGGTTGGTATTCCCTTGCATAAATCTGATTATCCCCCTGTTGATGGATATTTGGATTTTTTTCAATTAACGTTATATAGAACATGGCTGTGAACATTCTTGTGCATTACTTTTGATGCTGTGGTGCAAACATTTCAATTGGATATATATTTCAGGAATTGATGGCTCATAGGGCATGTAGATTTCCAACTTCAGCAGGTCAGTAATTACAGCCCAGAAGTTTTTTGAAGTCGTCCTACCAGTTTACACTCCACCAGTGAGTAAGAATTCTGTTGTGCATCTTCACCAGCACTTATCGTGTTTCTTATCTTAGTTATTTTTATGGGTAGACATTGGTATCTTACTGTAGTTTTAGTTTGCAATTCTGATTACTAAATTTGAACAACTTCCCTATGTTCACTGGTCACTAAGAACTCCTTTTGGCTACTTTCCTATTAGGTAGATATTCTAATTGATTTGTAAGAATTCCTTATATATTTTGAGTCAGGCCCTTTGTTTTCCACTTAGGGTGTGTTTTTTTTTTTAAGATTTTATTTATTATGAGAGAGACAGAGAGAAAGAGAGAGAGAGGCAGAGACACAGGCAGAGGAAGAAGCAGGTTCCATGCAGGGAGCCCAATGTGGAACTTGATCCCGGGGTCTCCAGGATCATGCCCTGGGCTGAAGGTGGTGCTAAACCGCTGAGCCACCCGGGATGTCCATAAACAGAAACTCTTAATTCTACATTTTTTCCTTTGTTTAGTGCTTTTTGTCTTATTGAAGAAATTTTTAACATACCCCAAATTCATGGGAAATATTTCCTAGAATTTTATTAAGCTGAGTTTACAACTCACTTAAAATTTTTTATGTAAGTTATAAGAAATGGGTCAGTATTCACTCTTTTACATATATTCATTTGGCCCCATAGTATTTGTTAAAATGTGCTATACATGCTTTGCTGAACTGATAAATCTTCATGGACCTATATCAAGTGTTTAGTATAGGTAGGTATCTGGGCTTTGCGTTTCTTTCACTGACAATACTATAAAGTCAATACCCTGATGTCTTAATTACTATAGCTTTATGCTAGGTCATGATATCTGCTAGTATTCACTAGCTTTTATTTTTAATTTTTTAAAAGATTCTATTTATTTATTCATGAGAGACACAGAGAGAGGCAGAGACACAGGCAGAGGGAGAAGCAGGCTCCATGCAGGGAGCCTGACGTGGGACTCAATCCGGGTCTCCAGGATCATGCCCTGGGCTGAAGGCGGGGCTAAACCGCTGGGCCACCTGGGCTGTCTATTCACTGGCTTTTAAAAAATTCCATATTCTATATGTTGGCAAATTGAACACCAATAAAAAATAAATTTATTAAAAAAATAAAAATTAAAAATTCCTTAGTTTTTCTTTTGCATTTCTATATACATTTTAATGCATACTTTTTAATTTTGTACAAAAATACACTTGATTTTCGTTGTAATTTCATTCAATGTGCAGTTCATTTAGAGAAGATTTACGACTTCATAATACTGAATCTTCAAGGCTACAAATATGGTGTGTTCTTACGTTGAATTAGGTCCTTTAAATTTCTAAAAATACTTTATAATTTTCATAAGAATATTGTAAATATATTTCTGGGTATTTGATGTTTTAGATGTAGTATAATTTAAAAATGTTATATTCATTTTACTTTTGTATACTGTTCTTGTATCTAGTAATCTTGCGAAACTTTTTAAAGATTTTATTCATTTATTCACAAGAGACACAGAAAGAGAGAGAGAGAGAGAGAGACAGAGACAGAGAAAGAGGCAGAGACACAGGCAGAGGGAGAAGCAGGCTCCACGCAGGGAGCCCGATGTGGGACTCGATCCCGGGACTCCAGGATCACACCCTGGGCCAAAGGCAGGCGCTAAACTGCTGGGCCACCCAGGGATCCCCACAAAACTTATTTCTAGTGAAGTTGTTTCTGAAGGTATTTTTATTTTTAAATCCATACATCATTAAATTTTTTTCTTTAATGTGTTTGATTTCTGTACAATGTGGAATAGAAGTAGTTGTGAGCATCCTTGTGTCATTCTCAATTTTGAAAAAAGGTCTTTAATATCTCAACATTAAGTATGTGTGCAAAAGTAGTTTTTATAGTCTTTAATAGAGCAAGGAAGTTTCTTTTTAGTTCTTGTTTAAAATTTTTAGTGTGAGTGGTGCTGAGTTTTATCTAGTTGCTTCTATTGATCTTGTATGTTTTCTTTTTCTCCTTTTATTGCTTCATTTAAAAATATTAGATAAACCTTATTCTTGGATTAAATTCTACTTGATTATGATGAGCTCTTTCATTTTTCTGTGGATTTAATTTCCTGTTTCAGATTTTTGCTTTTATAATCAATAGAAAGATGTGTTTACATCTTTTCTTATAACTTTAGAGGTTTTGATGTGTTAAGGTTAAATTGGTATCAGAAATAGAATGGAAAGTATTTATTTGTATTCTCTGGAAGACCTTCTATACATTTTATACGTTCTTTCCGTATTTTGAAAAATTCACTGGTGAAGCTATATGGACCTTATAATTTCTTAGAAAAATTTAAAACCAAGTTCTCATTTTTAAAAATAGACGATCAGATTTTCTTCTATTTTTATTGTATCTGATTTGATGAACATTTTTGCCTATTTTTATAAACTTTCAAACTTATTAGCATGAATTCATAATCTCTTCATTTTTTTTTAAATTTTCATTTATTTATGATAGGCACACAGTGAGAGAGAGAGAGAGGCAGAGACACAGGCAGAGGGAGAAGCAGGCTCCATGCACCAGGAGCCCGACGTGGGATTCGATCCCGGGTCTCCAGGATCGCGCCCTGGGCCAAAGGCAGGCGCCAAACCGCTGCGCCACCCGGGGATCCCGATCTCTTCATTTTTAAATGATTGTAAGATCTGTAGTGATACCTTTTAAAATATTTTCTTATTTTGGCTAAGGGGTTGTGAGTGGGAGGAAGACTACTGAGGTAAATTTTTATATTTTCATTCCATATCATGGTACATATTGTTAACATGATGTATCACTAATGATGTGAACCTTACTTA